AGGAGATGGTGTTATGTTTGACAAGCTTAATCTAGGTTATGATGCTGCCCTTTCTGGCTATGTGACCTTGGGGAAAAAGTCTTAAGCCCTTTGACATTGAATTTCTTATCTATAAATTGAAATACCATTGTCTATCTGAAAGATATTGTTAACCCCAAATCATTGGTTTCCCCCTCCCTCCCTGTCCTTTTTCTCTTCTTTTATTTTCTCTCTTTCTTCATTTGGTGTGGCAAAGCCACAGGGTTAAAAATGAGGGATCATGGGAAGAGTTCAGGTTTATTCAATGTCCAGAACACAGACAAGCAGGAGTTTTGTGCTTTCAGGTCTCATGCCATGGTGGATAGGGAAAACATAGGTTTGGAATAAGGGAAATGAAAGGGGAAAGAAGAGGGCAAGGAGGAGGGAGGATGATAAGGAAGGTGAATGGAGTGACCATGACCAAAGTGCTGTGTGCACGTGTGTGACACGGTACAATGGAATCCATTGTTTTATGCTGTTAGTTAGTGGAGAGAGTAGGTTAGTGTCAGGGAGGAGTAGCTGTGTTTCTCTGGGAGTGACAGTTCTCAGGCACTTCCTCTTTATAGTATAGTGCTCCTTACCCAGGCAGCCCACCCAGCGTGTCACTCAGTACGTAAGCTAGATCACTAAACAGGCTTCCAGAAATCTCTGTCAGCTACCTTAGTGCCAGGTGGCTTTGGTTAGCTCACCTGATGAGGAACTTCTGGCCTTAAAACATCCTGTTCCCAAAGATAAACAAAATTAGGACAAGGTAGAATTCAGCTAGGCCAATAAGCAGCATACTAGGTAACAATACTAATGGGAAATGGGAAAAAAATCTAAGGAAAGCATTTGACATAGAGCCTAAAACTCTGTGTCACTGTTGGGGTGTTTGTTTGTTTGTTTGATTGATTTTTGTTTTGTTTGGAACAACATCTCGCTGTGTAGCTCTGCCTAGCCTGGAACTCACTATGGAGACCAAGCTGGCCCAGAACTCACAGTTGTGTGCCTGCCTCTACCCCTGCCTCTGTCTCTTGAGTCCAGGGATTAAAGGGGTACACCACTATGCCTAGTTAGGGTTGAATTTAGGTGGTCAATGTGTTTTGTATTTGAATGTAGCTTATTACAGTAACATTATTACAGATTAATAACTGGTAGTGCTTGTTTTCCATAAATTCATATATATATATAGACATATATATGGGAGCCTTAAACAGGCTCTACAGGTATGTTAACTCTCATTAAAGGAAGTTGGTAAGGTGAATGGATAACATATATGAGATTCTGTGAGGGTGTGGCTATGTGATATGCATATATGTGTTCAAGTGCATACACCCATCTGTGGGCATGTAGAAGCTGCAGCAGGTTGGATGTCCTCCTCTAGCACACTCAGCCTTATTGTCAGTAAACCAGAACCTTGTTTCCTGTTTGGTTGGTTGTGGTGTTGTGGGTATGCTGCTTTACTAGCCGGTGAACGCTTGGGATCTATCTGTCCACCCCCAGTGCTGAGGTTGCAGAACTGCACAGCCACGCAGGGTTTTTCCTGTGGGACTCAGGTACTCATGTTTGCAGAGCAAGTGCTGTTACCCACTGAGCGATCTCTCCAGCCCCCAGTTACTATACTTTATCTTAGCCAACAATGTTGCAAAGCTATCTGATAATCATTATATCATACTGTCCCAAACTTTTTATCCACTATGAATAAACATGAAACAAATGCCAGAGTTGCCACCAATGTCTTAGCTATCACATGAGCATTTTCTTCTTGTTATTCTGTGTGTTTCAGGTGCTGGCCCACAGTTTGCTTCTCGTTTCTAGGCTGGGCCTTTGAGTTATCACCACTTCATTCCTATAATAAATAGAAATGCTTGCACACATTTTTGTCACATTTCTCTCCTGGATTTCCTACTCCACCCTAGTTAATTCCTAAGGGAATACACCCTGAGATTAGCTAAGGGGTAGTATTAGATTCCAGCTAATGGTGATTCATCTCAAATTCACTTCATAAACACCTTTATACTAGAAAACCAAATACTAGAGATTTGACTAAATGTGGGTCTTGTTAGCTTTAAATGTAGGTCTTTGAGCTGCCTTTTCTTAGGAACAAAATCTTTATCTGCATAGAATGAGTTACAAAGAGACTTTTTAAGACAAAGGAAGACAAGAACTGGTAAGAAATCTCTTGGGAAATCTGGAAGTTGTCTGTGTTCTCCTGAGTCTAATTTTCAGACTGTTGTTTTGTTGTCTTGCATAAGCACACAGGTGCATGCTGATTGTTAAAAGGGAACAGAATATTTTCAAGGCAAACATGCACTTTTGGATTAACCATAAATAGGCTTCCTTTGGGAAGTACAGATGAGAAGATGGTTTAGACTTAATATCACATAATTCCTTATAGGAATGTTGTAGGGACCCACGGTCACTTCTCAGACTTAAATGCAAATGGAATCGCTGCTTTACTTCATCGGCTGCCGTGGACTCAGGAAGCCCGTGTGCAGATCAGTGAAGGTCTGCTGAACAAGGCTGTAGGGATGAAAATAAGGGAACCTGAGGGCTTCAGGACAGTTAGAAAGGGAAGGAGACTGACTACAGGCAGCTGCATTCATAAGCTGAGCCTCTTTGAAACTGAAGGGAGTTCCTTATTTTTATGTGTGGTTTAGTGTAATTTGAAAATTGATGCTAAATTCACATGGATCAAAACTAAATAAAAATTCTCTTTCAAATCACAGGTTTTTAAATTTGCTTGTTTGTTTGCTGTTGTTTATTTGTTTGCTTGAGGCAGTGTCCCAATTTGTACCCAGGCTGGCCTCGAACTCATGACAGTTGTATGCCTCCGGCTCCCCAGTGCTGGGATTACAGGCATGAGCTACCATGTCTGGTGCTGTTTTATACCTATACTGATAAGTATGTGCACACATATACCTGCTTGTTTGTGTACACATGCATTTTTTCCTCTTCCTCCTTCCTCCCAGTGAATGGCATAGTATACATACTGCCCTATGACTTACTTTTCCCCAACACTAACCCTTGGAAATTGTTGCATACCCATTAGGAAGCTTTTGAAGACTTTGAGAGCTTTTAAAATGTCATGAGCCTTTCTATTAGGGTAAGGGTAAACTCTTAATCCATGGATTAAATGTAAGGATTAACCTTGTTACACACAACTGGAGTCAAGAAATGGTTGTTGAGTGAAAGACAGAGTGAGCAAATTATTTTATTTAATTAACTGGCTCCTGCATTCATTTGGTCTTTATTTGAACTTGTGACCCTCCTTCCACCTCACAGTGCTAATCTTAAAGATATGTGCTACCATGGTTTATCTGAGGCAAGAGTTTTGCCATATAGTCCAGGATGGCTACAAATTCTCTGTGTGTTTCAGGCTATCTCTAACTCATGATCTCCTGCCTCATCCTCCCAAGTGTTGGAATTACAAGCCTGGGTTACTATGCTTGGCCTGAATCATTTTGTTAATGTGAGGTAGAGATGGGGAGAAGCAGGAGGCTGAGAAATGCTGAAGTTATGAGAACACTGGCCTAACTGTGACCCTTAACCCTGGAATGGCATCCCTCACTAAGGCCTGATGTTCCAGAAGACATCAGTAATTCTCTTGGAGACTCCCATTGGGAGAGCAGGAGAAAGAGCTCCTTCTGGATTTGGGGTGTGGTGGGATGAAGTTATGGGGTGGCCTCTACAAGCAGCTTCAGCTCCTTGCTTCAAACATAAAACCAGGAACTCAGTCGGAGTAAACATAAAGTCTCATTGAACTCCCTTGCTCTAAAGTCATGACATTATTCCCATGTTCTTTTCTGATCGCCAGTAAGCACATTTGTCATGTTTAAAGTGCATTTGTAGAGACTGGGATGGGATACTTCCTCTAAGAAAAGTTAAAATAAACACTTGATTAAAATTATGTTTGTTGGACCAAGTGTATTAACACATACATGACTTTAGTCTCACCACTTAAGAGGCAGAAGAAAGCAGATCTCTGTGAGTTTGAGACTAGCCTGGTCTACAGAGCAAGTTCCAGGCCAGCTAAAGCTGCATGGTAAAATCCTTTCTTTAATATATATATATATATGTATATATATATTCATATTCAAAGCTAGGCTACAGAAAATAATTCTCAGTTATTCTATTCCTTACAAAATGGAATGGCCAACTATTGATAGAAAAGCAGATTTTTTTTAAGAGTAGGACTAAATATCTTGCGTATTGATCTTTTAAAGAAGATTAGATGAACTTTTGTATTTTAGCCTTAATATCAGATAAGTAAAATTATTATAATAATATTAAAGTTATTAAGTTGGAAATGCAATTATTGATAAATATATATGTCTTAATCAGTGTTCTAGTGCTGTGAAGAGAAACCATGACCACAGCAACTCTTAATAAAAGAAAACATTTAGTTGGGGCTGGCTTACAGTTTCAGAGGTTTAGTCCATTCTCCTCATGGTAGGAAGGATGACAGTTTGCAGGCAGGCATGGTGCTGGAGAAGGAGCTGAGGGTTCCTCATCTGAATCAGCAGACAGCAGGAAAAGTCTGTGACATTGGGCCTGGCTTGAGCATCTGAAACTTCAAAGCCCATCCGCAGTGACACACTTTCTCCAATAAGCCCACACCTACTCCAGCAAGGCCACAAATCCTAATCCTTTCAAATAATGCCACTCCCTAGGAGCCTATGGGGGCCATTTTCATTCAAACCACCATGATATGTGATATATTTACAGTAATTTTACTGATATATATTATTTTATTTTACTTTTGTTTTTTTGAGGCAGGGTTTCTCTGTATAGTCATGGTTGTTCTGAAACTCACTTGTAAATAAGGTTAGTTTTGAACTCTGAGAAACTGTCTGCCTCTGCCTCTCAAGTACTGGGATTAAAGGTGTGCACCACAATACATGACTTAAATCTTTAATTATTGGAGGTATTTAGTTATCAAAATAGCAATTAATAGTAAATAGAACTCATAGTAAAATGGATTTTTTTCCTCTTTATTTTAGTTAAGTTTGAAAGTGATGCTAACAAATATTGGGACACATTCTACCAGACTCATAAGAATAAGTTTTTCAAGAATCGTAATTGGCTGTTAAGGGAATTTCCTGAAATTCTTCCTGTTAATCAAAACACTAAAGAGAAAGTGGGAGAATCACCCTGGGATCAAGTCAGAAGCAGCATCTCAAGAACGCAAGGAACAGAAACTCATGGTCAAGAGAGTTTTGTCTCATCAAAACCTGCGAGGTCTGCTTCTAACCCCGACTTGGAAGAGTACAGCAAAGGACCTGGGAAGACAGAGTGGTTCCCTGGTAGCAATGCCACTTTTCGAATACTAGAGGTACCGTGCCTGAGGGATAAGACAGGAAGTAACAGAGTATGTAAGTGTACAGCCCACACTATTTTATGAATGGTCCAGAGTGTCCAGGTGGAAAGATCAGATATAATTAAATTAAATATTTAGTGTGCTTATGTGCATAAGCAATACTTCAGGGACTCATCTTTAATCAGTCAAGATTTAAGTTTGTGGCTTTAATTTCATCAATGTTAATTTTTTTCTCTTTTTTTTCTTTCTTTTTTTTTTTTTTTTTCTGAGACAGGGTTTCTCAGTGTAGTCCTGGCTGTCCTGGAACTCACTCTGTAGACCAGGCTGGCCTAAAACTCAGAAATCCGCCTGCCTCTGCCTTCCAAGTGCTGGGATTAAAGACTTGCGCCACCACTGCCACCACTTTTTTTTTCTTTTAATTTGTTCTAATTTCTAACTTGGAAGCAGTGCTTAAGTCTTATAAACTTTTGGTCCAGATATTTGCTCTCTATTTTTACCCCGTTAGGGGTGAAATAAAAATAAGCAGGGTGTTTAGTTGCTGCAATCTAGTGTAGACAGTGGGCTTTCCATTTTTGAACCTAAACCCTGTCTTTCTAATCCTAAAGGTAATAGTTGTTGATTACAGGGAATTTGCAAATGAGGACATTAGAGAAATTCAGTTACCCACAATCCCATAAACAGGTTGTTTAACCACCTTTCCTGCTTTTGTTTAGGCTATGCATGAGCCTTGAGGCTTTGTGTTGTTCTGTTTAATGTCATGTCATAGGCAGTTTTCCACCTTTAATTGTCCTCTATAAACATCTTTGTGGCTGCACAGTATTTTGTGAATGGGATATTATAATTTTACTTACCTGCTGTCGTGGGACTGCATTTAATTGTTTTCTCAGCAGATGTCTTTGGGTGTAGACTTTACCTGCATTTCCTTTTCCCAGCTTAGGTTAGATGGACTAGTTTATAATATTTGGAATTTTTTAGAGCTTTTAAAACAGAGTCTGTATTAAGCTATACAACACCACCAGGTGTGGTAACACGTGCACAGGAGAGACAGAAACAGACATGTTCAAGGCCAGCTCTCTCTCTCTCTCTCTGTCATACACACACACACACACACACACACACACACACTCACTGGGGTTTGAACCAAGGGCTTTTCACATGATGGGCAAGAGTTCTGCAATCCAGCCCATTCTGAGCCGAGTTCTCTCTAAGTTGCCCCGGCTAGCCCCAGACTCACTGTGTAGACCAGTCTTCTTGTCTCAGCCTCCTGAGCTCTGAATACAGGCCTGGAGGTCCAGGCCCCTCTTACCCTGATTTAGTTTGCACGTTGCCCACCACTCAGTATGCCTCACAGCTCTTCAAACACTGAGAAGTCACACATTCTTCACTTGTATTCTGTCTGTCCTTCTCTTTGCTGTCTGTGGTAAGAGTCCTGCCCTTTATCACGGCAGCTGCTGCAAACACTTCACTGCTGCCATGGTGTCCGAATGCACTGCTCATTCGTTGGTTGAGTTGGGAGGGGCTTTGGTGGGCTCAACTGTGAATGTTTCCATAGTCTAACTTTGCTTGTCACTCCTGTGCTGTGTTTCATCTGGCCTTTGAGTTTCACAAGTTCTGCCATACCCAGAAATCCAATAATCATTTATTTCTTAAATAGAAAATCCAATGTTTCCAGTGAAATGCAATGCGTTCACATTTGTTTATTCTCAATTTTAGGTTGGCTGTGGTGCTGGAAATAGCGTGTTTCCAATCCTGAACACCTTGCAGTGAGTTTTAAGTGTTTTCCCCTACAAGATCTTACATATTTATGGGAAGTTGGAAAATTCTGGAAATACCTTGTCATGAATATGCCAAGAGAGTTCTGATTTCCCATATAAACCATGACTAAAGCAAGTTTGAAAAGATGCATTCTGAGTGACTAACATCACATGAACAGGGGAGCTTTCCGTAGCCATGGGTCTGAAGTAGATTTTAAACTTGTGTTTATGTAGAAGGCAGAAGGGGAAAAGAGCGAGAGATTTCCATCCTCCCACCAGACTGTGCTTTGCTTAGCGTCAGACATGGCGTGCTCCTCCTGGAGACCAGATGGCACCTCACAGAGAGACGAGTTTGAAGAACACACCTCACTCCTCGTCTGTGGTATCTGCATGCTGGGGCAACACCAGGCATGCTCTCTTTGCGTGTCATGTCATTGTGCCCAGAGCCAGAGTCACTGGAGCAGGAGCCCCCACCACAAGCCTCAGGGATATAGAAATAGATGAGGACAACACAGATGTCCTTTGTACCCACCCTTCACCATCCACTAGTCTCACCTTGCTGGTTTAGTGATTCTGTGATCAGGCAGCTCCTTACAAATCTCTACACCATTTACCTCCTCTGAGCTCTCTAGTGCCTGCCTTCCTTCCTTCCTTCCTTCCTTCCTTCCAGTTTACACAAGAGCTTTCATGGCATGCCCCCCACTAAAATCTGCATAAGCATGTTTCAGAGAGCTTTTGTCAGGATGAGGTGAGGGATTCTCCCATCATCTAGCATAGCTACTACTGTACAATTCCCATTCTACACGCATATCTTTTAACTTAATCATATGATCTTTTAAACTTTCAATTGCAAAAATGTAAAAGCATTTGGAGAAGCACAGTGGCACATGAATGTCCATAACCCAGCACCTTGACTCTACAGTCATTGCACAATGCCTGACATCATGCCACTTCCAGATTCAGGACAGTCTCTGATCCTTCCTACACCTAATGGAACAGACGGTGCTTCCCTAGTGTTACCTACTGGACGTTACTGCGTCCAGCCATGGAAGGTGCTGTCAAATGTGAATGGTCTTACACTTTTTGAATTTATTATCTTGTCAACCTTTCCCAGCTTCTGACATGAAGTTTTCTATTCTCCTGTATCACATGACCAGACCCTTTACCCCAGTGATACTGGAGCTTCACACACACACACACACACACACACACACACACACACACACACACATCTCCACATTGGTTGAATGGTTGTGTTACTCTGAGACTGATTGATCTTAGGATATTACTAAGCATGTTGTTTTTAAATTTCTTGATTCTCTATTTTATGTATTTCAGGTAACCTAACAGTATGATATAGCAAGACCTTAATGTATATTGATTATTGATCTCTGATTCCATACTAGTTAGTTGTACTTTGACCTGTCCTCCACCCCATTCCTTCTCCTCTTCCCCTCCTCCTCTTTTTCCTTTTACTCCTACTCATCCTTTTCATCACACAAGGTCTTGCTCTGTACATCAGGCTGGCCTCAAACAAGATTCTTCCGTCCTCATCTTGTGTTACTAGGATCACAGGTGTGCCTAGTAACATGGGGAAATTAATTCATCTTTAAAAGCCAAACAGTGATCAGCCTTCCAAAGGGAGAACTGAGCATTCCTGCCCCCAGGATTAATATGTTACATTTTCAGAATGTTTACCATAATTAGACCATTGGAATTGAGAGGTCAGATCACTCTCCAAGGGTCATTTCATTCTTAAGCCTCCACCAAGACAGTTCTGCTGGTGTGGTGGTGGAAGTGACTTGTACACCCTGTCACTGGGAGAAGAGCCAAGGCAGTCAGCTGACTTTACAGAAAGACTCGGGAAAGTCATTAGGTGGTCACAAGGCCTCAGCTGGGGCTGCTGATGCAGTCAGAATTCCATCTCAGAGGTCAGGCCACCACCTTGATAGGACACATGGTTCCTGCTTTCCTTTGGCCATTAGACTCCTGGATGTTCTGTAACTACTCAAAAGTGATGGCAGACCTTTCATATGTGTTAGACAGACTAGAGTGCAGACACACCTGAATTGTATAGACATTTTTAGTCATCCTAGTTTTAAGTTCCCCGGAGGCAGAAGCAAGCTTTCTAAAATAGTAATAATAATAATAGTAATAATAATAATAATAGCATCAACAGCTGTAATAATGTCTGACAGTGTTGAGTGCTTGTTCTTCTGAGCCACGAATCTTTCTACAAACCTCACCGTCTGCAGCCATTCAGCCCTCACAACTACCTTAAATCGTGACACTCATCTCTATTTACAGATGAGGAACCAGAGTTAAGACCAAGACAGCACCCTGCAGACACTTAGGCAGGGTCGAGCCAAGCATTAGGAATTGGGCCGGCTGGTTCTGGAGGCCTTTGATCCCTAACCACAGGTCACACATGCATCCGAGTGCTGACTAAGCACATTTCATAAGCACACAGCACTCAGTAGACCACAGGTCACTGTTACATGGATCTCATGGAAGATTACAAAGTATATGCTAGAATAAAGTACTAAGATATTAAGATTTTCCCTCCCTCCCTCCCTCCCTCCGTCCCTCCCTCCCCTTTTTTTTTTTTTAGACAGAGGCTCACTCTGTAGCCCAGACAGACCTTGAACGTTGAATCTTCTTGCCTCTGCTCCCAAGTGCTGGGAATAGAGTTGGGCACCACCATGCTCAGCAAGATATCCTTTTTACATGAGATAAATGAACAGCAAAGCAAACCGAGCACTGCGTCCTGTACCTTGATTTAATGCTGGTGGACTTTTCACTACCGAGTCCTGTTTATTATACTAATACTTGTTAGGACAGATCATAAGTTGACTGCAAATCCTAGTGCCATAGACTAGGTTGATTATATGTAAGTCACAGTATTTATCAACAAGTAGCCTCTAAGAGTGTAATCAAAGCCCATATTTTTGCTTGTGTTCTTTACTTAGAAGTCCACCTTCCCTGAAATGCCTCTTGAATGACATTAAGAGGCTTGGTTTGTGCTTCAGACCTCTCTTTACATCTCGCCCAGTTTGGACTCTTTAGATCAATGTGGTTCTTATTCCTGGCATTTGATCCCCACCCTTAAACCCTTATGCCATGCTGACTCTCAGTTAGCAATGCCAACCTGTCCCTTTAAAACTTTCAAGCAGACACTTTGGGATGCTGATCCTCTCACCCCTTTAAAAGTTGTACAAAACCAGCCATGTTCCAAATTATACAATCCACAAGAGCCAGGCCCATATGTATACCTACAGTTACTGGGTAACGACATCCACCTGTTTTTAGCAACGCAGACATTTTTCTAAGCAGCATGATGCAAAGGTTGTTGGATGCCCGCACACAGAGCGTGATCACCAAGGACACTGGCCCACAGAATTTGTAGTATCTGCCTGCCCATGAACAACGCAGAGTCCAGCTATCGTTACTGAATTTCAAATAAAGGCCAAATAGGATATGTTTAAGTTGGGAGGCCAGTTAAAATTAGTCAAGATTTTTAAATAGGTAAATATTCCTCTGTAGAATAAGTAAACAAATAAATAAATAAATAAAAGAAGTTTTATTAGCATACTGTAAACAAAGAAACTGATTTTCAAAGTTGTTAAATCAAATTCACAAAGAAGTGGCCAACCCAGGATTTCTGTATAGGTTCCTTTGGCTCCCAAACCCACAATCTCAGTATTTGATTAGGTAGCTTCATAGTCTCATCCTTGGTATGTATGTTAGGTTTGATAAATGCCTGATAATAACTTGAAAAGATAACCAAGAATTTATATGTTAGAGTTTAATTCTCTTTTTAAAATTGCATTTACTGCCAGTATAAAATTATATATGCTTCTGCTCTGACAGGCTTCAGAGTGTCTGTCTGGAAAGGGTCAAAATCTAAACAAGTTATAAGTAAAGGAAGGATGAAGAACACAGGGTTCTGAGGGGCTTGGAGAAAGCAGAAGTGGGCAGCCGCAGGTCATGCCGGATGGGGGGAGAAGGCAGACCAGCATGGGAAGGTAGGCTTAGAAATTTCCACGTGAGAATTCGATAAGAAATAAGGCAGCTTCACCTCTGGACAGGAGCTTCAAAGGTTCCCTGCAGTGGTGAGTGCCTGTCAGGCCTGCAGCTCCTTTTCTTCTCCAGTTCAAACACGTCTGATGCTGGGTTTAAATGTCTTCTCTATTTGCATAGAAACATTCCAGGATCCTTTCTTTATTGCTGTGACTTTGCCTCTGAAGCCGTGGAGCTTGTAAAGGTATGTTTTACTACAGTCTTTAAAGAGAGGCATGGGCTGAGGAGATGACTCTGTCCAAACAGTGCTCGTCATGTAAGCAGGAAGACCTGAGTTCAGATCCCTACCACATGTTTAAAAACTGGCTTGGCAGTATGTGCCTGTAATCCCAGAACTGGCAAGCCAGAGACAGGAAGGTCCTGGGACTTACTGGCCTGCCATTCTCACTGGCCAACCAGTAAGCTCCAAGTTTAATGAGAGATTCTACCTCAAAATACAAGGTTGAGAGCAATTGAGAACAATAGCCAGGCTGGTCAGTGGTGGCGCACGCCTTTAATCCCAGCACTTGGGAGGCAGAGGCAGGTGGATTTCTGAGTTCGAGGCCAGCCTGGAACAGAGTGAGTTCCAGGACAGCCAGGGATACACAGAGAAACCCTGTCTCGGAAAAAAAAAAAAAAAGACAGAAAAAAAAGGATAGCCAGTATTGACTGATGACCTACATGCACACACACATGCACACATACGCACGCAGATCCACAAACACTCAAACCCAAGTATATACAAACATTTATATACACACATAAATTAAAAATAGAGGAGCTGAGTGTAGTGGCACATACTTTTAATCCCAGTACTTGGGAGACAAAGGCAATTTAAGTTTAAAGTCATCCTAGTCTGCAAAGTGAGTTCCAGGATAGCTGGTACATAGTGAGACCCTGTCTCAAAAAAAAGTCTAAATAAATGAATAAATAAATAAAGAGAGGCTTTAAAAGTTCTAATTGGAGAGGCCTGGAGAGATTGGTTTAGTAGGACAGAGCACTTGTTGTTCTTCCAAAGGACCTGGATTCAGTTTCCACATGGAGGCTCACAACCATCTCTTACTCCAGTTCCAAGGGATCTGACACAGACTGGATCCCAGATCCCACATGGGGCTCACAGCTATCTGTAACTCCAGCCTCAGAGGATCCAGGCTCCTCTTCTGGCTTCTCAAGGCATCAGGAACAGACATGCATGGAAGTAAAACACCTATATATATATAAATAAATATTTTTAAAAGGTCTAATCTGTTTGCTTTTGAAGTGATTGATTCTTCTGAAATGTTTCTGCATCAAGTGCACCTGTGAAGATTTTTAGCTGAACTTTTGCAATTTCTGGAAGTTATTTCAAGTGATGCTGAAGTATATTGCTATATAGAATGCCTGTTTTTACCCTAAAATAGAAGTTGTTTTGAATCTAAGAGAAATGTAGTGGCTGGATAGATGGCCAGTGGTTAAGAGCACATACTCTTGCAGAGATCTGAGTTCATTTCCCAGCATACATTTGAGGTGGTACACAACCGCCTATAACTCTAACTCCTAGGATCCAACACCTTCTCACCTCATGCACAAACCCACACACACATATAAATAATTAAAAATATTTTTCAAGTTCAGACTATACATATGTTCATGAATGCAGCTCAAAAGATACCAATAATATCAGTCAAGATTTTAATAGCTTCCTATCCCAAGCTGAATTTTTTAACTAACCCTGCAAGAAGCCATCTCTCATGCCTGTCTCTCACACTTTCCACAAAATCTGGCACACAGTAGGCACTCCTTAAAGTGAAATGTTTGAGATAAGATAAGAGGCTGTGAGGAAAGCCACAAAGCCTGGGCTTCCCACACAAACCCACAAAAGCTAGCTAGACTTCAGTAGAGTGAAGAGGCAATTGCAGCAGACGGGGATGGGAAAGAAATTCTATTAACAGAGAATGTAGGGAGATAGCTCAGTCAGTAAAATGCTGGCCTGCCAAGCCTGAGGACCCAATTCAGTCCCCCAGAACCTGGAGGAGAAGGATAGAAAAGGTGGTGTGTGCTTATAATCCCAGCCCTATGCTGGCAGAAAGATAGACCCCTGGAGCTCATGGCCAGCCAGCCTAGCCTGTTAGACAAGCCCCAGACCAGAGTGAGACGCTAAATTGAACTTGAGGAAAAACAGCTAAGGTAGTTCTGTGGCCTCCATATACATGCGTCTACATGAACATACGTGTACTCCTGTACACACACACACACACACACACACACACACGTTTCCCACAATGGCACGGTACCGATGGGTTGTTATTCCTTCTGCTGCTGAGGCTGCAGACAAGTCATGTGTAATGTGCTTTAACCTCATGTCATCTACAAATAGCCTTCCTGAACCACTTCACACACCACCCTGTTCAAGTGTATAAGACAGTGGATTTTAGTGGGGTTGTGTGACCGTCACTGTCATCTGCCTCTGGATATGTATCGGAAGATATTTTGTACTTTAAGGAAAGGATACATGGAAGAGGCAGAGGAGCAGGACACGTGAGGACCATTCTGGCTCCTCTCAAAGAACACGGGACTGCCCTCTGGCAGCACTGCCAGCAGAGCCAGAGCCTACACCGATCCACTGTCAGCCTGAAGGAGGGATTGTGAAGAACATTTGCTGTCTAGTCCAAGTGCTTTAGACTCAGTTATTATTTTTTATTTTTAGGGCAGCTTAAATTAAGTCAACAGAGCACTAAGCTAGAAATGAAGCTTGTTCCAGTTCACAGAGGAACAATGTTTAGGAGAGTTTTAATTTTGTGTTGGATTCATTTATTTATAAAAATAAATGTATATGTACATTTATTTTACATTTATTTATACAAATACTACATTATTGGGGGGGATATATGCCAGGGGCTCATGTGTCAACAAGAGACCAATTTGGAGGAATCATTTTTCTTCTTCCACCATGTGGGTCCCAAGAGCAAGCACCTTTACCAACCAACCCATCTCACTGACCCAAGGAAGGAGTTTTTAAAAATTACCTTTCACAAAAAAAAAAAAAAAAAGGAAAGAAAGAAATAAAAGGAGAAAAGCAACCCTCTGGAGTGAATCTGCTAACTCTTGCTTTTCCTTCCTCTGTCCTGACAGTCACACGCATCCTACAGTGAGGCCCACTGTTCTGCATTTATTCATGACGTGTGTGACGACAGCTTAGCCTACCCTTTTCCAGATGGGATCCTGGATGTCGTTCTCCTTGTCTTTGTGCTCTCATCTATTCACCCTGACAGGTAAATTACGACGAAAGGGCAAAGCTAATGTTTAAGCTCCGTTATCAGTCCTGGTTTGTAGAACTATCAAAGCAAAAATGACAATCCTTGAATTTATTATTTAGTAAACTCCGTTACGTTTAACATGCAGCCTCTTAAATGCAGTTTTCTCCTTTCTTCACACTTTAAGAAAGAAACTGGTCAAATGCTTCATTAGCGAGCTTTCTGTCACTGTCAGGATGAAGTGAGCACACTCTGGCAAGACACATACCTATTAAAAGTGACAGCGCTTCAAGGAAATTACAGATGCAGAGCAGCCTAATAGACTCCCAGGAGGGAGATTGTACTTAGTGATCAGAAACAAACATCTTTGATTTAGCATCTTCTTGAGTGTTTGGGGAGAGGTGGGCTGTAGTCTGTGTGGCTCACTCAGGTCCAATAAGAGGCTTGCATTTCAAAGAAGCCTGAACAGGAATCATGGCTGTAGTGATTTCACAGATTGGCATTGGACCTTTAGGATCTAAGGTGGGTTGAGAGCCATGATTTATTTGTACGAGCATGTATGAGTGTGTGAGTGTGTGAGTGTGTGTGTGTGTTTGTGTTTATGAGTGAGTATGTCTGTGGGGAGGGTGTGTGTGTGTGTGTGTGTGTGTGTGTGTGTGTGTGTGACCTGCTAGGCATTAACCTCAGGGTCTTGTGCATGTTGGGCCCATGCTCTTCTACTGAGTGTCCCTACCCTCCAAAGTATGACTTCCATGTTTATGTTTCCATGATACTGTTTTTTATCTTTGGTTTTTTGAGTCTCATTGCATAGCCTGTGCTGATTTTAAACTCTGTATCCAGCTCAGGCTGACCTCAGACCCTGAGTGACCCTCTGTACCTTAACCTCCCCACTGCTGAAATTACAGGCATGTACCACCATGCCCACCCAACAGGACTTGTGATTTTATAAGGTTTCACAGCCTCCAGGAAGAGGGTACAGATCTGCTAAGAGTCCTTTTACTTGATTGTGTGATCCCTTCCCAGAGAAACGTGAGTCCTATGTCTTAAGTTGCTAAGACATTTGCTGGATTTTTAGTTCCCATACAAAGCTAAGCACTTTTCTACTTAAGGAGGTAAAATTTGATTCCCAAATTAATCCAAAAAAAAGTTATATTTATACCTCATGCTTAGATTAGGTTCCATCAAACCACTCTCCCCTGTTTCCACAGTGTATTTCTTTTCTGATAATATGTTCATCAGTTGGCACTGCTGTAGAATTGTCAAAATGTCACTCTGTGTTTTGCTTCCTTCTGTGAATAGTTAAAAGGTTGGTGTAAGTAGTGAAGAGCAAGCGCTCCTATTCGGTACCTCAAGCAGAAAATGCGTAGATTCCAAATAAGATTGCAAAAAGACTAATTGAGATTGGTTCAGACAATGTGTTTCACTGTAATTAGAATTGAATATTAATAAGAAGGGGACACATATCTTAGGATGCTTACTCTTATTCTTCAGTATTCACTGTTTATTACAAAGTAAATTCAAATGTATCATGTCAGTACAGCTTTTTTAACCTATATATGGAAATGGACTAACAGTCAGGTGAATGAGCTGGGAATGGTGTTGCACACCTGTGGTCTCAGCTACCTGAGTGGTTGAGGTGAAAGGATCAGTCAGTCTCAGGTGTTTGAAACCAACCTGGGCAACACAGTGAAACCCCACCTTGACACGTTTTAACTAAGTAAAAGTGAGGTGAATGACTAGAAGAGAGACAGTAAGCATAAAGAAATGGTTTAACAGTGTCTTTAGGATCATTTAGGACTATAATTGTGAATATGCATCCAAGAACATTCTCATTATCATCAGAAATAAATAAATGGCAGTGATTCAGTTAGAGCCTGAGTCTGAGGGTAACAGCTTAGGCGGAAGTATTTCATAGGAGATTACAGGAGAATGTTGACTGTCTTTCTAATCATTGACATAAAAGGAAATATGAGCTACATACTGTGGGCAGTCAACAGATAGTAGAGAATTTTATTCTTTGTGTTCTATTTTTATCTTTTGTCCCTTCCTCTTACTCTATCCAGGGGCAGATAAAGACAGTAATCATCTGAAGTACACAAAATAAAGGGCTTGGCATCCCAGCACTTGGATGAGACAGGTGGATCTCTGTGAGTTCCAGGCCTGTTGTGCTAAATATTATTTGGTGTTTCTACCCCATCTTCAATCATTTAGTTCCCAAATAAAAGACACAAAACCTTTATATTTGTAATAAGTCTTATAGCACTAGAGCTGGACAGATATCAACCCTCTGTGCTATTTTGTCTACTTCCCTGTCAGTAATTCCAAGATATCACTTGCCATGTTCCTCCTGGGCCGATTCTACTCCAGCTGGCCAGCCCTCATGGCCAAGCACTTATGATCCATTCCACCTACCCATAGTCCTCTCCTTTCTCCCTCCTTGTGATCCCTGCCTCAGACCCCAAGTCTGAGAACTGAAGCCCTGCCTACCTCTCTTCTGTCCAGCTATAGGCTACAGACATCTTTATTAACCAGTCAAGGATAACTTATGTGTGTGTGTTGGGGGGGAGGGCAACGTCCATACAACAAAAGCCGTATGTGTGAGGATCTGCTCATCTGGAGCAACCAGATTTGGGGGTGTGAGGGATCCTGAACTGTACAAGATGGAGAAGGGAACCTGAGCACCAGCATGCGTGCATGGCTCTCTGCTTTCTGACTGGATGAAGAGTGACCAGTGGCTTCAAGCTCCTGACCCCTCCTGACTCCCCTGCTGTGGTAGTCTGTAACCTGAGCTGTGAGCCAAAATAAACGTTCTCTCTTGAGTTGCTTCTGTCAAAGTATGTTATCACAGCAACAGGAAGAGCAGCTAAGAGAGGGCTTTGTCCCATTCCTGTCTTACCAACTTCATTCCCAGCCTGGTCCCACCGTGATTCCCAGGAGTGCAGATGACTGACAGGAGGAACAGTTCCCACTCCCATCTACCCACACGCTCTAATGTTAGGCAGGGATTTACACAGTGGCTGTGAGGTGACATGCTTGACTTCTTATATTTCTAAATCTTCATTTCATCCTTATTTTACTAATCATCCCAGAGATTTTGCTCTCTTCATAATAAATTTACCTTGAAATTGTATTTTTTAAGGTTTAGGTTTTCTTAATTTATTTTTATTTTATATGCATTCATGATTTACCTGCATATATATCTGTGTAAGAGTATTGGGTTCCCTGGAGTAGAGTTTCAAGCAGGTGTGAACTGTCATATGGGTGCTGGGAATTAAACCCGGGTCTTCTGGAAGAGCAGCCAGGGCTCTTACACACTGAGCCATCTCTCCAGTCCCCAAGGGTTTTTTTTTTTTCCATTGATGTAAGCACAATATGAAAATGGCCTGAAATGAACAAAAATAACATTTCCCTTCATGTGTTTATGCTTCTTCCTTTTTTTTTCTTGTGCTGTGAATGAAACTTGGGGCCTCACACATGCTAGGCCAGCATCCTCGCATGGAGCTTGATACCACAAGTACCCCAGCTTGTATTCTAGCTTTTAAAAACTTTTCACCTAAACCTGCCATCTCTTTCTGTCATATTTCTTATCTGTTTAGATTTATTTCCATTAGCGGCTTTTATTTTCTTTCTATCTGCTTTCTTTTTGACATGGCAGAAGCTGGATTTCACCCTGTTAGTCGACTAAACGTAGTTTTTTAGGATTTTTAAATTGTATCTGTGATATGTATGTGTATATTATATGTGTGTACATGTGTGTGAATGTGTGTTTGTGCATGTATGACTACGTGCATGTGTGTGTGTTATGTGTGACTGTGTATGTGTGCATGTGTGTGATGTGTATGTGCTCCTGTGTGTCCCACAGCATGTATATGGCAACCAGACAACTACTTTGTGGTATTGGTTCTCTCCTTCATCCTCACATGTGTCCCTCTCAAGTTGCCAGGCTTTCATGGCACATGCTTTTTACCTGCTGAGCCATGTTGGCAGCCATGAATGTTGTTTTAATTGAAAGGAATATATAGGTTATCTGAGCTAATCTCTTCATCTTTTCAAAATAAGATCACCTCAGCAATTTTAAGTGGCTTTGATAAAGCAGAGCTGGGTGTGGTGACTTATGTATGTAACACTAGCACTCAGGAGGCTGAGGCAGGATGACTGCTGCAAGTTCAAGGCTAGCCTGGGGTGCAGTATGAAACCCTGTCTTAAAGCCAGAATCAGACAAAAGTAAAAGAAACAACAAAGACTTGTCCTGTAGTCTACTTTTTCCCTTCCCTCCCACACCAGTCAGTGGCAAAAGTTCTGGACGCTGGTGGGCATTCTCTGTTGGCGCCCTGAGTTCTCTCCAGTGGAGCTCTGTGGGGAACTAAAGCCTGTCACTCAGCAAAAGACCTAAATCTTTTCAGTCCCTGGCCCATAAAACATAGGCCATGAACACAGAACCTAAAATACTAAGTCGCAATCTATTTAAAGGGGTCATATTTGATTGCATGCTACATAAGCAGAATGGGTAATTAGCAAGAAGGAAGCGAGAGCTTCTTGGTGTTGAGCTGGGAATTTGGATGTGACTACAGTCGAAGCAGGCCAAGGGTAAGGAAAAAAGAAGTCTTTTTCTTGAGAGGAAACCATAAATACAAAGGTACGGGACACAGAGCCAGCATACCTCAGTGTTTGGTTGGAAGAGATGCTTTTGGTTAGAAAGCAGTAGAAACGTCACTGGAAAGATTCACACTAAGAGCCCTGTAAGAATTAAACCTTTGCCCTCTGGATTAAAATCTTGATATTGTTTTGACAGTGATGTGATTTGACCAGACCGTTGTTGGAAGTCAGATAACTCATTGGTAACATCCATGAAGAATTACCAAGAAGGATAATGTAGTATATTATTAGAAAGTGATTCTGCTTCTGGGCTTGGGAAGGTAATTGTCCCAAGGACCCGCCAGTGGGAGACAGAGAAAACAGCAAAAGGGAGAAGTAAGAAGACAAAAAAAGATTGGTGACCACATGGATAGGATAGAAAGAGAGGGAAATAATCTCCATCTGGAGAGGATCAGGGTACCTTTCATCTTACTAATGAAGTCAGGGATGGAAGGGATGGCTCAGCAGATAAAGCACTTGCTGTGCATGCCTGAGGACCCCAGGTCAGATTCCTAGGACCCAGGTCAAAAAACCAAGCAGGCATGGATGCTGCCTGTAATCCTGGCCTTCAGCGGCCAGAGACAGGATCCAGAAGCGAAATGGCTAGTTAAATTAGTCAGAATCTGGATTCTAGGAGAGACCCTGCCTGATGTCAAGTTTGGGCTTACATATACATGTGGACATGCACGCACACTCATGGAAAAAAGGAAGAAAGGAAGAAGGAAGGAAGGAAGGAGATGGAGTAACTTGAAAAAAAGATTTATTTAGCTATATGAATTTGGGGTGGTTCTAACATACTGTTTTATTTTACAGAAAAAGATGAAATTCCTTTACCTTTGTCTCCTACCTTATTTAATGACAGAAACATAAGCAGATGGGTGTGTGTGTTGTCTGGTTGGTTGGAGACAGGGTTGCACTATGTATGTAGCCTTGGCTGCTCTCAAACTCATGATCCTCCTGTTGTAGCCCCAGAGTCTGGGGTCACAGTAAGCACCACTGTACCAGGTTTGTGGTTTGTGGTTCAGCTTTGACATGAGACATCAAGCTCTGATGTTCCCAGTTCTTGAAACACTTGAGACTTCTGAATTTGGTTCCTTCAATACAAAATGCTTTTGTGTTTTTTATTTTTTCTTTTACATGTATGGTTCCTTTGGCTTGTTGATATCTTCTTATCGTGTCTCTGAGAAGGTTGAATTGACCTTAGCATATGAAACATTTCTACCTAGCTTATCTCACTTTATTTTCAAAGGATGCAAGCTGTTGTCCACCGACTATCCAGGTTGCTGAAGCCTGGAGGGATGCTGTTGTTTCGGGATCATGGAAGATACGACAATGCTCAGCTTCGCTTTAAAAATGGTAACAAGCTGGAGAGGTGGCTCAGTGGTTAGGAGTGTGTACTGTTACTGAAGAAGAAGGGGGTTTGTTCCCAGCACACATCAGGTAGCTCACAAGCACCTAAAGCTCCAGTTCCAGGGGATCTAATACCTTCTTCTGGCCTCCTCAGACACCCACACATACGTCCATATACACATAAGACACAGATACATAATGTAAAATAATTAGTATAATTATTATTTAATATTAGTATATAATACACAATTTTAAATATACATAATTTTAAAATTGTTTAAAAGGTAGTAGTATGCCAGATGGTGCATACCTTTAAATCTCAGCACTAAAAGACAGAGGCAAGTGGATCTCTGAGTTCAAGGCTAGCTTGGTCTACAGAGAGAGTTCCAGGACAACCAAGGCTACATAGAGAAGCCCTGTTTTGAAAAAACAACAAAAAAACAAAAAACAAAAAAGCAAACAAAAAACAGCAAAACAAAATCATGTCAGATTGTTTGGGTTTATATTGTCTTTTAATGGAATATCAAGTTCTTCCCTTTATTATATTTTAGGGCGTTGTTTATCTGAAAATTTTTATGTCCGAGGAGATGGTACCAGAGCCTATTTCTTTACAAAAGGTATGCTGATCCCTCTAGCCTAGGGTAAGCGGCGAGCCGTGAAAACTCTCAAACATCTGTTTGCAGGGATACACATATAAGCTGTGTGTATGAGGCCTCAGTGCTGGTTAAACACCAGACGTCTTCATGCCCTGGTACTTACAGTAGTTCCACATAGAAGTGTGCAATGGTCTTTTTCCTTTTAATATTTTTCCAGTTAAAACTGCATTTAAAGAGTCGGTTGTTCCGCTCTTACACTGGAGAGAAGGTGCAGGGTGTAATTTGGGAGTTAGCATTAGCCTGGATATGAAAGAAGTTGATAAGATGCCACAGCCAGAGGGAAGAATTTTATTTGTATACGTCTATAGAAAATGAGATCTCAGTAGTCAATTTCTTGTCTTAAGCAAGTACTTCTGACAACACCAGGTGAACTGTGCATTCAGGGATTTCTCCAAACTTAATAGAGCCTTTTAAAATACGTGATCTCGGGTCATTGCAAAGTAAAGGCTCAGAAAGGAGGCACATTTCAAAATATGCAAAGTAGTAGCCACAGCTCAGCTCACAGTAACTTACCCTGATCAGGCTGACCCAGCAGCCTATCTGCAATGGATGTGGTGGATAAAAGGATTCCACTTGGTTTTGTAGGTTTCGTTCACTCAGCTCTAGAGCTTCTTGGTATAAATGAATCAGATGAGCAGCCCTCCATGGCATTCCATTGGTCCATACCCCTCTCTCCCCACCACATGCTGTATTATTGACTGCCACTCTTGTCTCAAAGGGGAAATCCACCGTATGTTCTGCGAGGCTGGATTACTTGAAAAGCAAAATCTGGTTGATCATCGCTTGCAAGTTAATAGGAAAAAGCAAGTACAAATGCACCGAGTGTGGATTCAAGGAAAATTCCAGAAACCATCGCCCTGGACTCCACAGAGCACAAATTAGCATTCACTGCATTCTCAAGACTGAACTACATGTCGTGTTAAAGTACAAAACCAGGGCGTGATACTGTTCAAAGGCATCTTTTCCAAAGACAAGCAGAAGAGCATCCGCAGCTCTGCTGGTCTGCTGTCAGCGCTCTTTGGACATTTTAAAAACACAGGCGTGACTTGAAAGAGTGTCCCACCCTCTGGGTTTTCAGAACTTGAAATATGTTTGGTTTTGTTTCATCTAACCATGTTCCCTTGACTTGTATGACTTTGAATTAAGGAGCTGATATAAGGCATATAGTTTGTAACCCGTCCTTGTTTCAGAAGTAGAAAAATTATCTACTTTATTATTGGGTGTGGTAAAGCAGTCAAACTGCCCTCTGCTGTCAGCTGATAGCAGAAGCGGTGTGCCTTGTTCTTAGGGGAACTCGGAAGCCCAGGATGAAGGGTTACTGCGTTTTCTTTTGTTCTTATCTATTTTCTCTCGACTCCCTCCCCCCTACACACACTAGCATCTGAAATACAACTTTAGTTTCTCTTCCTTCCCAAAAAATGGGGAAGTGCGGTCCTTGTTAACATCACTTCCAGGCTAGTCTTAGATATGCAGATCATCTTTGAGACACTGTTCTGCTGTGGTGGCTAGTTTTAATTGTCAACTTGGGACAATCTAGAATCACCGGGGAAGAGTCTCAGATGTCAGTTGTCTGTGAGAGTCTGTCTTGTGTTAATTGATGTGGGAAAACCTGCCTGCTGCGGGCAGTACCATCCCCTGGGGTTTGGACCCTGGACCGAGTAAGTGTGGGAAAAGTGAGCTGAGCCCTGGCACACCTGTATTCCTTCTCTCTCTGTTCTTGACTGTGGGTGTGACCAGTTGCTTCAAGTCCCTGCCTCCGTGACTTCCTGCTGTAACTGGGTGGACTGTAACTCGAAGTTGTGAGCTAAAATAAACCTTTTCTTCCCTAAATCGCTTCTGTTGGAGTTTGGTTTTTTTAAGTAAAGGGATTTTGACAGAATGTATGTCTGCACCATGTGCATGCCCAGTATCTGCAGAGGCCATTGGTATCTATCTCTGCCTTCAGAGAGCATCGGATGCTAGCCTGAGTCTTAGGTGTTTGTGAGCCATTTCTCCAGCCTCACTGTCAGGGTATTTTATCACTGCTAAACTAAGGCATTTATTCAACGAAATTCTCCTAACAACTTGAAATGTATTTGCTCCCTTGCTTCAGAAAGAAAATATATTGGCTTCCAAATCCCTCGTTCTAAAAGACAGAGTTCCTAAAACAAGTCCCCTGTTATGTCGTGTTTACTGAATACTTTCATTATATGTTATCGAAGTGTGGGTTCACTACTTGTGCCCCAAGTCAGATCTGGTTACTCATCTTCAGTAAAGCTAATTAAAAGAGCCAAATTAAAGTGGAAAATAGAAAAGGAGACTTATTCCATAAGGACACATTGAGAACAGGGACAGAGAAATCAAGAGATTCCCCCCTTCCCAAGGCCAGTCTTTGGGGTTCTGAAGGTTTAAATAGAGACCTGAGGATGTACAGTCAAAGCAGGCCTCTCAAGGTGTAGTCTCTGTAACCCTGATCTAAGCAAGGGCAGATGAGAAAAGTCACTGGGAAGAAATGCACAGTCCTCTGAAAGCAGTGGCCGGGGAAAATATAGATCCAAAAGTTTTTCCCACCTTATTTGTTTGCTTGTTTGAAACAATCTTAACTCATAGCTCAGGCTAGCCTCAGAACTGGGCAGTGATCCCACTGCCCTAGCCTCCAGACCTATAAAGCCCAGGCTAGCCTCTGCACAGGACAGTGATCCTGCTGCCCTGGTGTCCAGAGTGCTCAGATTTCCAGGTGTGAGACTTTTTAATAAAATTACTTAGTTAAACTGTTTGGGGTTGTGGGTTTATAACCCAATAGAAATTGAAGATATTCCAAAGAGATATCTGTGTCCCTCAGTCTCACTGTCAGACTGTTGAAACACTGGACCCCAAAGAAGTGGTGCTTTCCCCAGGAGTCTCATGCTGGGAGCTGGAAAGGGTACCAGCCAGAGGGGGACTTGTCTCCTAGAGAGAGATTCCACACAGTTCTAACAACTCCTAGCCACCTACAGGACAAGACTGAAGTCCAGACAAGGGTGTGTCAATGGTGGCCCACACATCGATGACACTGCTTAGACGTACCCATCCTTGGCCCTCTATTTAAACTGTAATCTCATTCTTGAAGATTCAAATCAACTTGGGATTTCTCTGAGTCTCTGTCCCTTTTCCACTGTGACCACACTAAGTGAATCTTCTCTGTTTTTCACTTCAGTTTGATGCTTTGCTGTTTGTTTTGTTGAGACAGGGTCATACTCTAGTTCTGGCTGACCTGGAACTTGCTTTATAGATCAAGCTGGCCTTGAACTCACAGAGATCTACCTGCCTCTACCTCTCTAGTGATGAAATCAAAGGCATGTACCGCCACACCTAGCAAGTTTGCCTCTTGTAATTGACTTATTGAAGACAATGGCCAGACTTGATTTGGGGCACAAAATTGTATCCCCATAGTTTGATAACAGGTTGATTTTGGGGGCCTATTGGGACAGAACAGCTTAACTGATGGTATTTCCAGAGCAGATAGAGTCAGGCAAAGTGCCTAAGGAACTATCTTTAGGAAAACCATTCAGTTCTTACTTCATTATCACAGCACACAGGGCAGGTATCAGGAGTCACTCACTCCTGGGTGGAGAGAACAGCTTTGGGGGGTGGGAGGGAGAATGGGGCAGGATCAGCATTCTGGGAGGAGGTGGGCTCAGGCTAGTCCTTGATTCTCTGTTCTCAAAGTATTCAAGCTAGATCCATCTGTATAGAAGTTAGTGAGGGATGATGCAGAGAGCTGGGGCAAGTCAGCTTGTAAACGGAGTAGCACCATGAGGACAGGACTTCTAGTCCCTGAACTAGAGCCATCCAAGTTGATTGGTTGATTTCTGGTTCATTCCAGCCACGGTGTTTTACAAACAGATCTAGAGAGGTTTGTTGAAGACTTGTCTATGGCGTATAAACTGGAATGAGGTCTATGATCATCGATGAGGAAAACCACAGGCCCTTTTGGAGTAAATTTGCCTTTGGTGGCAAATCCATAGAAATACAGCTGTCACCATTTCTGTTTAAATATGCACACATCAGTAAATGAAAGAGTCAGAATTTGCCCAAGACTCTTAACTCACTTGTATTTCATAATTAAAGTCTACATTTAAAAGCCAAGACAGTCATGAAAGTATTATATACAACAGGGCAGTTTAGATAAGTTAAATGTTGCTATGGGAACCCCAACAGATCTTCTCGTGTCTCCATTTAAAAACCATGGCCCAAGGTGGTTTTAAAAAACAACAGAAGGTAAAATTATTCTCACATTCTCACACATGTAAATTGTACTGTCTCTCTCAGTTCTAAATAGCAGATTCAAGCCAGCCTCTTGACTGGCACAGTAAAATTGAGCTTCATATCTTTCTATAATGTATTACAGCATGTGAGTTAACCTTTAAAAGCTTCAAAAATACATCAACCAAATTTGGACTCTGAGACACAAACTGGGCTGTCTTGGGCTCTCTCCAGCACCACTCTCCTAATCCTTGAACATCCCCACAGTACCCCTCCCCCAGATCCCACTCCCCTCACCACGCCCTATCTTCTGTTGTCGGATCTGGGTTTGTTTTTTTTTTCCCACTTAGCCTACCTGCGTCAGCCTCCTTTTTCAGGTTTGCTACCAGACAGAAATGTAGATTTTAAAAAGAAATCTAAGCAGAGAAAGCCAAGGTAAGGGTCATTTCGAAATTTGCCTGTAAATACTAAGAAACTGTGAGGTGCAACAATTATATCTGTTTGGGTATTAGCCTAAAATATCTGATAACTATGTGGAATTCTAACCCCCCCACACACACACATACACACATATCCATAAAGCCAGACTATGGTTAGCAGAAGCTGATATTTAAAAATCCTTCTTCCAAGGGAGCCACACTTCATAGAGTCCATTTTCCCCAACAGAAAAAGGTATGTTCCTTCACCTTCCACATTGGTTGAAAGTACACTTTCTATTTTCACCAATTCTGAAAGTGACTTTGGAGTACTGTCTACCTGGAAGCATCCTCCCATGAAGCTCTGCTTGAGAAGATTGTGAGGATGTTCATTAGGTGTTTCTGTTACACGTCTCCCATTGTGCACTGGAACACTCAGTTGCCATTGACTTCTGCTAATGTACTTGTGCAGACACATCCTGATTTCTACCATTAAGTACTTGTAAACCATTGCTACACACTAGTTGGTGTGTGAAAATAGCTACCTTCCAGGAGACAAAAGCCAGAGTCACATGAACCATCTGCATCATCTCGTTCTCTCCCTAAACTCCTTCACCCCACCTCTGTGCTTTTCCAACTCATGAAGTTCTGAAGCTTGAGAAGATCAGCATTGTTACCTAATTGGTTCTGGTGTTTTGCTCCTCACAGGAGCAGAGGACTTCACATTTGCATCGCTAATAGTCCTCTTTCAGAGCCTCTGCCCCTCCTGCCTGCCTCTGTTAGTCATCAGTAGATGACACGTTAAGGGTGCTTTCCCCTCTTGTGAAAGCACATTGTAAATTCCAAGTACTGAATATGTGAGGTGTTGTTATTAATAATAGCGTCTACAGTCTACAAGGCAGCGTGCACAGCACTCCACGTGTACTTTTTCAATGGCTTTTGAGACACTGAGAGAAAAACAGGACTGTGCTGTGGGAAAGGTATTGCCTAGGAGTCTCCTAGGAAAAGAATAGGTTCCAGGTCCCATTGAACCACTTCGCTACTCTCCATTCAGCTCTGAGTGCTGATCTTGTATACAGTAGGTACTTCATTTGGGTCCCAAGAGCCTGTGAATTAGCTGTTACTGGGGCCATTTAACAGATGAGACTGGTGCTCTGAAATACTCGGTAACTTGCCCAGGATATTAGCAGTATTAAGTGGCAGAGTCAGAATGTAGACCTGGAATTGCCCAACTCCAAAATCCTTTTCATTTCTGGGCTCACTGGCTGCTGGGAAAGACACTGAGGAAGAGAGCCTCTGAATCAGGTGCAGAGCTGGTGGAAGTTTGGCCTAGAGAACTCTCAAGGATCTTGCTCCTCGAAGATTCAGTGAAAAAAACTAGGTCATGCTTGTCTGGGTTATAAAATAGAAAGGTAGGAAAGGAGGTGACCCATGAGGAATGACAAAGCAAAAAGTCCTCAATCAGTTCTCTGCAGCTTTCTGAGTCTGCTCAGCTGTGTCCCACCCCAACCCCCTACTCCCGCCCCTGAGACCCCCGCAGGCTCGGCCTTGCACTTGACATCCCCCTAGCACAGCACACAGCACGTGTACACTCCTCACTTTAAGTTAAAAGGAAAATTCTGTGCTTCAAGGAAGGGAAAAGGCCCTTAAAACATCGTCTGAGGGATTTGGCTGTACTGTAACCTAAAAATCTGTGAAGTCAGGAGGTGTCAGAAATAAAGCATGCGTGAAACATCTTATTTAAAACCTTGTACGTACATGAATGCCACACTAATGCCAATTCAAACATGAAATGTGGATCCTTTCTTGGAATATGGTCTGGGCTTTGAAAGGCGCAAAGGTACCCTGCACGCTGGCTTGCGTATGGTTATAGATATAGAAGCAAAAGAACCCTTGCATCTTCTTTTTTTAAATGAACCTGTATTATGGCCTCAGAGCTATAGAGGAGAGTAGGTGCCAAAATCTGCCTTTCATTAACATATGCCTTAAATGACAGGGAAGAGGTGTTGAAGACAAAAATTACTTTTTCCTATGAGTATGAATCAGCAACATGCAGCAACAAGCAAGTAATAATAGCTGTGCGGGTGAGAACCTACAGGGGGCAAGAAAAATAGCATCAGCCGGAAAAGGCACAAGCGCACCTGTGAGACGGATGCAAAGAGGCCACAGAGCACAGCTCCCTTGAACACC